AACTGTGTTGTCCTACGGGGATCTGTTTCCATTGGATGTCTGTATGACAAATAAATGGTAGATTGATTGCATTTCGTAAGAGTTTGGACCACAATGGGAAAGAGTAACAACACGAATTTTCGAAATCTGAAACACAACAAATTCTCGTCTTGAAAATTGAATAAAATAATTTCATTTTTGTTTCTCAATGTTAGAACTTGTATTGGCGTGTGTGGGTGTATTTGCGAAAAATTGCCCAGAAATGTGTTGAGTGCGGTCTTCGGAACTTCACGAGTCCCATGAGACCTGTTACAGCTGGGGAAAGAACATTGAGAATTATCGCGCGAAATTCGATTGATGTGAAAAACCAGAAATCAATAACGATTGCCTTCACAAGCGAAGGGTCTCCGCATTCACACGCCTGGGGACCGAGTGTCATCGGTTGGGAATTACAGACCAGTTTGACGGGATTTGAAAACCCAACTATATGCTCTTCGAATGAATAAAGTTATCCAGGATTTCTGACGAATATCCAATTTGACTTACTTTTCAGTTGATATATGATACATTAACCGATGATCACTTGGTTCAGCAGTCTACTACCGAGTGCAGTTTGAATGTTTTTCAAAAGTGTTCTACATATAGAAATTTCAATCCCTAACTTATCACTTTATTGACCTTCAGCAGAGTATTAAGCAAACCAACCACAATTCAATTCCATTTCAACAAAAAAGCATTTAGGCTGACGGAGCAAGTTGAATTGTAGGATTATGTGGATATAAACAAGACAAGTCAAGTCAAGTCAATTAAAGCTTTATGCACTCCATAGGATGAATTTTCAGCATTTTCGACATGTTACAGTTGGAAAAAAACGTGAAGTATCAGAAAAAGAAGAAATATACATTTACTAAATGACAAACAGACGGGTTTACGTAAAATCCTAATGTGAGAGATGATTGTTCAAGTCAGCAGTAATATTTGCTCGGTTGATCAAGATGCGAGCAAAATAAGGGATCATGCTGTTTTTATGTGTGGTGGTGCGTGCATAAAGAATCCGAAATTGGGAACGGGTACTCGGATGAGAGACCGATTTAATGAGATGGGAGTGCAGGCAGTGTTCTTCGTTGGACAGGATATGGCTGATAAATCGATCGCATGAGTCAAAATGCTTGCTCACAATAAAGTCAATCAAAACGGTCTTTGAAATGCCGCTGCAACGAGAAAGAAGTTTAGGAGATCTGGAAAAGAGAATAAAGTCTTTCTCCTTCAAACCAGGAAAATATACGGGGGAACAGTACAACCAATGTGGAAGAATGCAAGCACTCACAAATTTAAGAATGACATTTGAGGGAACGCCGAGCTTTTTAAGCCCAAAGGAGTAGAATGATAGCTTACGAACCCGAGTACAAATGTTTTCAACATATTTGGACCAAGAAAGATTGTGTGACAAAGTAACTCCAAGATATTTCACAG